TATTACAAAAACACAAAATAAATAAAAATAAGTATTTGTGTACAAGCTGTTTAGATTGTCAAAAAGCCTGTGTTTAGTTCATGAACTCAGACCAGTAATATTTGGGGTCACAAGTTTTTGCCACGGATATTTTGTGGGTCAGAAGACAAAAAGTTTGTGAACCACTGATATAGACTATCTTGGTGTCAATCTCTTATTGGTTTCRAACTCATTGCACTTGTAAAAATATCCTAGATGTGTGTTTATTTATTTATGTTTTAACTCATGCCTTATCATGTAGTTAAAAAATAAAGAAAAGTCAATTTTATGTCAATTTTACAAATGTTTTGGTAGGAAATTTAAAATGACTCTTTGTTGCAGACTGAGCACAGTTCAAAACCAGTGAAGGAAACTTACGTCAGAGGTGAATAACATTAAATAATTGCTAAAACGGCTTGCCATAGTTATCTTCACAGAGCGTGGGAGCTGTTTTGTGTAAAGTCTGGAAATGTCTCAACTTTTCCAACACGGCCTCTAAAGGGTTAGCATATTTTCATGCTACTGCTTTCCCCTCCCTCCTTGGAAAAAAAAAAGAAAGAAAGAAAGCCAACGCCCCACCKTTAGCTAGCTCTTCACTTCTTCTTGCAGTGGTTGATTCATCCGGTCGAACAGCAGCAGAAAGAAATACTCGGTGTTTTTATTTTTGAGTCTGGATCAGAGATCTTCAACAAGTCTGGAGCTTTTCCTCCTGAAGTTTCCCTCWCTGTGAACCCGCTGTTCGTTCAGACGCGGCTCGTCACTTTTTGACGCTAAGTCCCTTCCTTCCTTTATTTCCTTCTTTCTTTTTTTTTTATTTAATAGTGTAAATTCGTCCAGGATGGCAGACACCGGGTCCAGCCCTACAKCTAACTACATGGAGAAGCTGCAAAGTTACGTGAAGACCCAGAAAGGTTTGATCCTCGCAGCAGAAATAGTGAGTAAACGTGTTCAGAGCTACGTGCGCTGCTGGCTGCTACTTAATGTTTCATGAGCTTTTAAAGCGAGTTCATGCTGTGTTGTATTCGCGGCTCACTGAGGAGGAGTAACCAGCCTGTAAAAAGAAATATTGATTTTTAGCTATCTTTTTACAGGCTGTTTTAACCGAGCCATTTTGTTACACTCCTCTTCACATGTACGACGTTCAAATTTCGTGCAGCTACCACTTTCCTTTCTCAAGTTAAGACAAAAGTTAATCTTAAAGAAACACGTTGCTTCCTGCAGAGACCCCCTTCTCAAGTCTGCAGAGAGGTCACGTGACTTAATCACATTAAACCCCACAATTTTAACACCTGATTCAGTGACTCTGCTATGATTACACAAACAACACTTTTCTTATTTTGGAGGCTTTCAGTCAMCTCTGGATTCACTTAATTTAAGTGGAATATTAAAACCCCACAGCAAGCCCATAATAAATGTGTTGTCSGGACAAAGTTCAGTCACTTCCTGTTTGGGAAGACAGCTGTATTTATATTGTTTGTCACCACTTTTTTTCACTTGAATGCTTTTGGTTTGCATTTGAGAGCGGCGCGTTCCCTGAACACAGGAGTCGGTGTGACCTTCATGCTTTGCATACCATCTTCACTTCCACTGGTTCAGAATGTAACGGAGCACATTTACATGTGAGGCTCAAGCAGAGCCTGGGACTGTTCCTACACAACGTTAGACACATTTACATGGCGCTTAGAGTAACTTACCCCAAAATTAACTTTTTTTAAAGCTGATAAACTGTCTAGAATGYGTCTAAAATGTTATATAGTACTGTTTCTGTGCTAATTGTGATGTTTTTGTGCGTATTTGTTCAAATCTGTAATATTTGGTCTAAAAACATGTTTTTGCTGCTCATATGGTAGAGCAGTGGTACTGCAGGCTAATTTGCTATTGGTTAACGGCTCTCCACGGTGA